CCATAGATGGATCTCCACCCCATAGATCCCATTAGCATCCATCCCATTGGGATCTCCATCCCATAGATCCCTGCCCCATACAATCCCTGCCCCATAGATCCCCACCCCATGGCGCTGAACACGTGGGCACCAAAAGCCGTGCTTGGCAACAGACTTAATGAGAGATTTAACGAGTGCAGCGCTGTAATTAGAGACCGAACACAAGGAACGCTGCATGACCCCAGCATGGTAATTAACCAAGAGTGAAATGAACCAAATGAAGGCCAAACTAATCGGGAAAGGAACGACTGCGTGGACTGGGGACTTGGGGACACACTGGGGACAGGTTGGGGACATGATGATGCTTTGGGGACATGTTGGGGACACATTGAGGACACACAGGGGACACGATGGGAACACATGGGGGACACACTGGGGACATGCTGGGGATCCATCAGGGACACATGGGGGATATGTTGGGGACACAACAGGGACAAGCTGGGGACACACTGATGATGCACGGGGGACACATTGGGAACACATTAAGGACACACAGGGGACACGTTGGGGACATTCTAGGGATCCATGAGGGACACACTGGGGACAGGTTGGGGACACATTGATTGATTACACTTTGGGGACATGTTGGGAACACACAGAGGACGTGATGGGGGCACATTGGGAACACACTGGGGACATGTGGACACACAGAGGATGATGGGGACACACTGGAGACATGGCTGGGGACATGTTGGGGACCCATCAGGAACACATGGTGGACATGCTGGGAACACACTGGGGACACACTGAGGGTATGTTGGGGACATGCTGGGGACACATCACAGAATCACAGAATCACAGAATCACCCGGGTTGGAAGGGACCTCAAGGATCATGTAGTTCCAACCCCCCTGCCTGGCAGGGCCACCAAACATACACATTTAGATCAGGTTGCCCAGGACCCCGTCCAACCTGGCCTTGAACACGTCCGAGGACGGGGCGATCATCAGGGATACATGGGGGACATGTTGGGGACATGTTGAGGACACACTGGGGACACACTGAGGATATGTTGGGGACACACCAGGGACATGCTGGGGACACACTGATGATGCACTGGGGACACATCGGGGGCACATTGAGGACACACAGGGGACACATTGGGGACATGCTGGGGATCCAGCAGGGACACATTGGGGACATGCTGGGGACACACAGGAGGACACATTAGGGACATGTTGGGGACACATTGAGGACACACTGGGGAAACAGTGACGGCACACTGGGGACACAGTGAGGATATGTTGGGGACACATTGGGGACACACTGAGGACACAGGGGACATGGGAACACAGTGGGGACACAGTGGGGACATGTTGGGGACACACGGGGGACACACTGACGATGCGATGGGGACACGTTGGGGACCTATGGGGCACGTATTGGGGACACCAGGGCCATGTTAAGGACACATTGAGGACACGATGGGGACTTTTTGGGGACCCATCAGGGACACATTGCAGACACATGGAGGATGTGTTGGGGACACCTCAGGGACACATGGGGACATGCCATCCCAGTGCCACCCCAGTGTTATTCTGGTGCCACCCCAATTCCATCCCTGTTATTCTTGTGCCATTTTGGTCCCATTTTAGTCCTATTTTGCTCCCATTTTGGTGCCATCTCAGTCCCACCCCAATGCTATCCCAGTGCCATTCCTGTGTCATTGTGCTTCCATTTTGGTTCTGTTTTGTTGCCACCCCAGTGCCACCCCAACGTCACCATGGTGCCACCCCAATGCCATCCCTGTGTCATCCTGGCACCATTTTGATCCCGTTTTGGTGCCATTCTGGTGCCATCTCAATGCCATCCCAATGTCATCATGGTGCCACCCCAATGCCATCCCAGTTCTGTCCCAACGCCATTCTGGTTCCATCCCAGTGCCACCCCAATGCCATCCTGGTGCTATTGTGGTTCCATTCCAATGCTGTCCCGCTGTTATTCTGGTGCCACCCCAATGCCATCCCTGTGTCATCCTGGCACCGTTTTGATCCCGTTTTGGTGCCATTTTGGTGCCATCCCAGTTCCATCCCATCACCATTGTGGTGCCACCCCAATGCCATCCCTGTGTTATCCTGGCTCCATTTTGGTGCCATCCCAGTGCCACCCCAACGCAATGCTGGTGCCATCCCAATATCATCCCAATGCCACCCCAACGCCACTGTGGTGTCACCCCAGTGCCACCCTGTGTTATTCTAGTTCCACTCTGGTGCCATCCCAGTTCCATCCCAACGTCATCATAGTGCCACTCCAATGCCACCCCAACGCCATTCTGGTTCCATCCCAGTGCCACCCCATGTTTATTCTGGTCCCAGTTCCATCCCATTGCCATTGCGGTGCCACCCCAGTGCCATCCCTGTATCATTCTGGCACCATTTTGATCCCATTTTGGTGCGATTCTGGTGCCATCCCAATACCACCCCAATGCCATCCCAGTTCCATCCCAACACCATTCTGGTTCCATCCCAGTGCCACCCCTGTGTTATTCTGGTGCCACCCCAGTTCCATCCCAACGTCATCATGGTGCCACCCCAATGCCATCCCAGTTCCGTCCCAACATCATTCTGGTTCCATCCCAGTGCTGCCCCTGTGTTATTCTGGCACCACTTTGCTGCCATCCCAGTGCCACCCCAACACAATTCTGGTGCCATCTCAATGTTATCGCAGTGCCACCCCAACGCCATTCGGGTTCCATCCCAGTGCCATCCCTGTGTTACTCTGGTCCGATTTTGATGCCATCCCAGTTCCATCCGAACACCATTCTGGTTCCATTCCAATGCCACCCCAACACAATTCTGGTGCCATCCCAATATCATCCCAATGCCACCCGAACGCCATTGTGGTGCCACCCCACTGCCATCCCTGTGTTATTCTGGTCCCATTTTGGTGCCATTCTGGTGCCATTCCAATACCATCCCCATGCCATCCCAGTTCCGTCCCAAAGCCATTCTGGTGCCACCCCAGTGCCATCCCAACATCATCATGGTGCCACCCCAACGCCATTCTGGTTCCATCCCAGCGCCACCCCTGTGTTATTCTGGTGCCATTTTGGTGCCATCCCAACGCCGTTTGTTTCCATCCCCGTTCCGTGGTGGCGCTGCTCCCATCTCCAGCTCCCATCCCACATCACCGCGTCACCGCCGCCTCCACGCCGATGTTGTTGAGGAGGAAGAGCTCCGGGCGCGCAGCGAAGGCCCAGCAACGCTGTGGGGGGGGGGGAAGGGGAGACCATCAGCACTGCCCCAAAAAATGGGACCAGAGCAACAGTGGCACTGAGCTGCACGCCTTGCCCCAAATCTGTGTGTGTGTGTGTGTGTGTGTGTGTGTGTGTGTGTGTGTGTTGTCACACCCAACGTGGCACTGTTGCACCCAACGCAGTGTTGTCACACCCAACGCGTTGCTGTCACACTCAACATGGTGTTGTCACACCCAATGTCTTGTTGTCACACTCAGTGTGGTGCTGTCACACCCAACGTGGCACTGTTACACCCAGCGCAGTGTTGCTATCACACTCAACATGGTGTCATCACACTCACCATGGTGTTGTCACACCCAATGTGGCACTGTTACCCCCAATGCAGCGTTGTCACACCCAACATAGCATCATCACAGCCGATGTAACCTTGTCACACCCAACCCGGTGTTGTCACACCCCATGGAGCACCGTTAAACTCAGTGCAGTGTTCTTACACCCAGCATGGGGTTGTCACACCCAACACAACGCTGTCACATCCAATGTGATGCTGTCACACCCAACGCAGTGCTGTCACACCCAATGGAGGTTTGTCCTACCCAGCACAGTGTTGTCACACCCAGCACAGCACTATTGCACCCACTGTGGGGTTTCCACACCCAACGCAGCACTGCTGCACCCAACATGGTGTCATTACACTCCATGCGTTGTCAATCCCAGAGCACTGTTGTCACACCCAATGGGTTGCTGCCAACCCCCAATACAGCACCATTACACCCAACGTGGGGTTTTCACACCCAACATCGCACTGTTACACCCAATGTAGTACTGTTACACCCAATGCAGCATTGTTACACCCAATGTAGCACTGTTATACCCAATGTAGCACTGTTACACCCAATGCAGCGTTGTTACACCCAATGTAGCACTGTTACACCCAACATGGTGTCATCACACCCAACGCAGCAGTCACACCAACGCAGTGTTGGCGCATCCAACGCAGCACTGCTGCACCCAACACAGTGTCATAACACCTCATGCATTGTTGTCACACCCAACATAGCACTGTCACACCCAATGCAGAGTTGTTACACCCAATGTAGCACTGTTACACCCAGCATGCTGTCACCACACCCCACACAGTGTTGTCACACCTGAGGCACCATTGCTACACCCAATGCAGGACTGTCGCACATGGCACAGCGTTGTCACACGCGACGCAGTGTTGTCACACTCAGCACAATGTTGTCACACCCAGTGCAGCACTGCTACACCTGACACAGTGTCACGGCGCCACACCTGACGCAGCCCTGTTGCACCCAGCGGAGGTTTGTCGCACCCAACACAGTGTCGGCGCATCCAACACAGCGCTGTTACACCCAACAGGGCACCGTTACACCCGACGTTCTGTTGTCACACCCAACATATCATCGTTACACCGCACACGGCGCTGTCACAGTTATACTCAGTGTAGCACTGTTACACCCGACACAGCAGTGCTGCCACACCTGACACGGCGCCATTGCACCCAGGGCAGTGTTGTCTCACTCCACATAGCATTGTTACACCGTTGTTACACCCAGTGTAGGACTGTCACACCCAACACAGCACTGTTACACCCAACATGTTCCTGTCACCCCCAATACAGCACTGCTGCACCCAACACAGCGCCGTTATACTCAGAGTAGCAATGTCACACCCAGCATGGTGTTCTCCCACCCAACACCCCCAACACAGTGTTGTCACACCCAATGGAGGTTTGTCCCACCCAGCACGGTGTTGTCACTCCCAGCACAGCACTATTGCACCCACTGTGATGTTTCCACACCCGACACAGCATTGTCACACCCAACGCAGCACTGCTGCACCCAACATGGTGCCATTACACTCCATGCGTTGTCAATCCCAGAGCACTGTTGTCACACCCAATGGGTTGCTGCCAACCCCCAATGTAGCACCGTTACACCCAACGTGGGGTTTTCACACCCAACATCGCACTGTTACACCCGACGCAGCGTTGTTACACCCAGCGTAGCACTGTTACACCCAACATGGTGATGTTACACCCTACGTAGTGTTGTCACCCCCAACATATCGTTGTTACACCCAACATGGTGATGTTACACCCCACGTAGTGTTGTCACCCCCAACATATCGTTGTTGCACCCAACATGGTGCCATTACACCCAACGTGGCACTGTTACACCCAACGTAGTGTTGTCACACCCAACACAGTGCCGCTACACCCTATGCAGCGTTGTCACACCCAGCGCAGCACTGTCACACCCGATGTGGTTCTGTCACACCCCACAGTGTTCTCACACCCCATGAGGCACCGTCACCCCCAACCTCACACAGTTACACCCAACGCAGTGCTGTCACACCCCACGCAGTGTGCTCACACCCCATGTAGAATCGTCACACCTGACGCACTGTAATCACACCCAACGTGGCACTGTTAGAGCTGATGGAGCGTTGTTACACCCAACACAGCGTCGTCACACCCGACGCAGTGTTGTCACAGCCGATGCAGACTCATTACACCCAAAGGAGTGTTGTTACAACCGACGCGGTGTTTTCACACCCGACGTAGCACCGTTACACCCGACGGAGTCTCATCAAACCCGACGCAGTGCTGTCACACCCGATGGAGCGCTGTTACAGCCAACGCAGTGCTGTCACACCCAACACAGCATTGGTGCACCTGAGGTAGTGTTGTCACACCTGATGGAGTGTTGTCACACCCGACACAGCATTATTACACCTGATGGAGCGCTGTCACACCCGGCGCAGCACTGTCACAGCCCACGTAGCGTTGTCACATTCAACATAGTGTTGTCACACCTGATGCAGCGTTGTCAAACCCGATGGAGTGTCGTCACAGCCCACGTAGTGTTGTCACACCTGATGCAGCGTTGTCACACCCGGCGTAGTGTTGTTGTCATACGCCACGTAGTGTTGTTGTTGTCACACTCGACATAGTGTTGTTGTCACACTCGACATAGTGTTGTTGTTGTCACACTCAACATAGTGTTGTTGTTGTCACACCCGACGTAGTGTTGTTGTTGTCACACTCCACGTAGTGTTGTTGTTGTCACACCCAACCTCATGTTGTCACAACCAACGCAGTGTTGTCACCCCGCCACGTTGGCGCCGCACAGCAGTGCCACAGTTCAGTGTCACGCGTTGGTTTGTGTGTGCAAACGTTGTTGGTGGTGCTTAGTGCCCGGGGAGGGCACACACACACACACAGACACACACACACACTCAGGAATGTACACACATGATGACACACACGGAGGGGGAACGCACACAGGGATGCACACACACACAGGCGTGCAAACATAGATGGGCACATGGGGGCACGCACACAAACAGGGATGTGCACCCATGGGGACACATTGGGATGCACACACACAGGGCTCACACACACACAGCTCACACACACACACACACGCAGACCCGTGCTGTCACACTCGCACACGCGCGCTGCGGGCGCTACTTGCTGCCGTGCGCAGGGCTGGGCTCGGGCAGCAGGCTGCGCGTGACGCTTACCGTGCTGCCGCAGGACAGCGCCGAGGCCCCCAGCGCGATCAGACACAGCCAGGTCTGCAACGACAGCAGGACGGAGCCTCACATCCCTCCTGCCCCACGTGTGCTCCTTCCTGCCCCACGTGCCCCTTCCTGCTCCACATGTGCCCCTTCCTGCCCCACATATGCTTCTTCCTGCCCCATATATCCTCCTTCCTGCCCCACGTGTTGCTCCCTGCCCCACATGTGCTCCTTCCTGCCCCAAATGTGCTCCTTCCTGCCCCCCATGTTGCTTCCTGCCCCCCATGCAGGACCCCCAAGCACAATCATCCTGTGGTTCTCTGACCTTCAAGGACCCTTCCATCCCAACCACCCATGGCTCTTTGACCTTTCAGGACCTTCTCAACCCAACCACCCCACGGCTCTCCAACCTATCAGGACCGTCCCAACCCAACCACCCCTCAGTTCTACAATCTTGCAGGACCCGCTCACCAGGTACGCGACAAAGGCCAGGTAGACGACGCTGAGGATGGCCGCGCCGACGTAGAGCCCCACGTGGTTCAGCGCCATCACGTAGGCCACCACGAAGTACATGTTGATGCTGCACACCAGCAGGATGACGGCGCCGCCGCCGATCTTCCAGAACCTGCCAGCAGCATGAGCTGAGCACAGAACCCCCCTCCCCTCCAGACCCCTTTTGGGCCCCTCCGGACCCCCCAGCCACCCCCCCATCGTACTCACAGCCCGTTGGCGAAGTCGTTCATGACGCTGGGCAGGCTGGTGAAGGTCAGCACTGGGATGAGGGCAAACGGGAGCTGAGATGGAAGGAGGAGGGGTGAGGAGGGGAGTCCATGCGACCACTGAGGGTGCTGTGATGCAGAGAAAGGGATTTCGCCCCTATGGGAAAAGTGTGGGGCCGTGGAGCGGAAAGGGTTGGGCTGAGGGACGTGGTGACCACGGAGCTCCATCCCGGCACAGGGAGCTGACGCCCACATTGCCAGTGCCCCGTCGTGCTGCCAGCACCCCGTGCAGATCCACCACAGTCTCCCCTTCTTTGTGGCTCAGCCATCCCCCCCACCCCATCGCTCAGGGTCAGGATGACGAGTGGATTCCCACCCCCCCTGCATGACAGTCGCTCCTCTCATCCCATCACTGTGCAGCCGGGTGACAAGCGCACTCCTGTCCCCTGCTCCACGTTACAGCTTCTGCCCCTTCTCCCATCTCAGTGCACTCAGATTTGCTGGTTCCTGTCCCCTCCTTTGCGTTACAGCTGCTCCCCTTCATCTCATCTCAACCCGTGTCTGGCTGACAAGCAGATTCCCACCCCCTCCTCCACGCTACAGCCCTGCAACAGACAGACAGATGGATGCCACTGACACGTGGCCTTCCAGGACCCTTCCATCCCAACCATCCCATGGCTCTATGACCTTCCAGGACCCTTCCATCCCAACCATCCCGTGGCTCTGTGACCTTCCAGGACCTTTCCATTCCAACCATCCTATGGCTCTATGATCTGCAAGGACCTTCCAAACCCCACCACCTCACGGTGCTGTGATCTTTCAGGCCCCTTCCAACCCAACCACCCCATCGTTCAACGACCTTTAAGGACACTTCCATCCCAACGATCCCACATCACTCTGTGTCCAGGTGACCAATGGGCTCCTGTCCCCTGCTCTGCACTGCAGCTGGTCCCCATCATCCCATTGCTGTGCATCCAGCTGACGAATGGATTCCTGTCCCCTCTCCCACACTGCATCCATTCCCCCTCATCCCATCACTCCACGTCTGGGTGACAACGCCTTCCGGTCCCCTCCTCCACATCACAGCCATTCCCTTTTGTGTCCCATCACTGCCGGGTGACAAGCAGTCCCCTGTCGGCTCCCACAGGGACAGAGCAGAGGCAGCCAATCCCTCCCCCCCGCCCCACTGATAGAAGCTGGGATCGGGGCAGCCTTCCCCCATGTGCCCCACTCTGCAGAAAGGAATCCCAAAGGAAGCAATGGGATGTCAGGGGGAAATTTGGATGGCAGGGAAGTTCTGTGCTCGTTCAGCACGGAGAAGAGAAGGCTGGGGGTGAGCTGAGTGCAGCCTGCAGTGCCTAAAGGGAGCCTGCAGACAGGAGGGGAGTCAGCTCTGTGCAAGGGGAGATGACAGCAGGACGAGGGGAAATGAAGTTGAGGGAGGGCAGATGGAGGTTGGATGTCAGGGAAGTTGTGTGCTGTGAGAGCGGTGAGGGGCTGAACAGCTGCCCAGAGAGGCTGCGATGCCCCGTCCATCCCTGGAGGTGTTGGAGGCCAGGCTGGATGGGGCCCTGGGCAGCCTGGGCTGCTGTGAAATGTGGAGGTTGGTGGCCCTGCATGGCACAGGGGGGTTGGAGTTCCGTGATCCTTGAGCTCCCTCCCAACCCAACCGTTCTGTGACTCTGTGGATGCGCTGCAGAGCCCCCAGCCCACCTGCAGGCTCATGAGCACATTGAGGAAGTCGTTCATCCCTGTCAGGTGCTCCACGTCCTGGAAGATGGCCACAAAGAGTGTGGGGGTGATGGCGATGGAGCGCGTCAGCAGCACGCGGGCAAAGCGCGACCAGCGCAGGTTAAGGAAGCCCTGAGGGAGGAGAAGGGTGGTGATGATGGGGGTGATGGGGGGCAAAGGGGGGTGATGGGGGTAAGGGGGTAGAGGAGATTTGGGGAGATGGGGAATGGTGAGCAGAGGGGAGCATGAGGGGAGAAGAGAGCTTGGAGGTAAGGCTGGAGAGCAGAAGAGAGGAGAAGAGGGTGCAGGAAAGGCAGGAGAGGAGTGGAAGAGCAGAAGACAGTAGTGAGATAAAAGAGGAGGAGAACTGAGAGGAGGATGAGAAGATGCAAATAGAGAGAAGAGCAGCAGAAGAGGACACACGTGGGGCGGGTGAAGGAGGAGAAGAGCAGAAGGAGAAAAGAAGGGATACAACCAGAGAGAAGAAGAGGAGAGGATACAGGAAAGGCCAGGGAGCAGAAGAGGGAAAGAAGGGATGCAACCGTTATACAGGAGTAGAGTGGGAGAGGAGGAGAGCTGAGAGGAAGATGAGGAGATACAGAGAGAGGAGAGCAGAAGAGCAGCAGAGGAGGACACACATGGGGCA